CGTGAAAAGCTTAATAAATTACGTGAACAAATTTCTATACTTTAAAATGCATTGTTACACTATATATATACAAATGTTTTATAGTTCTAGGGCCGAGATAACATAATTTTCGTGTAACTGGTGATTACAATTATCCAAATAGAATTTTCTTATTCTCGACCAAATAACTAAACCCCCCAATACATATTTTTAAAGTTCCAATTGCTTTTTTTTTTTTTTTTTTTAGTACTCTATGTACAAAATCATAATAACGATAATAACGATAAACTATTGGTTTCTTTTTTTTTTTCTTTTTTTTTCTTTTTTGAGAAATTAATGTTTCATAATAAAAGTCATAACAAAGGAGTATAAAGTAAAAATAATTGTGAATGAATAGTGGTATCATGATTTCCCTCACTGAATAAAATATAAAAAATAATTGTGATGAATGGTGATATCATGATTGTCCCTGACTGAGTAGAATACAAAATATATATATATATATATATCAATTGTATTTCTAATTGGAAAGTAGAATGTTCTTTTTAATTTCAGAGTAAATTTGTAAATTTTGTAAATAATAGAAATTAAAAATAATGGAATTTATAGACAAATGAACGGATTGGTTAAACAAAATTGAATAATATTAAGGTGTATACATTTTATGTAATTACACCGATTGAGGATAGCCTGTAACAGGAGGACTGTGAGGCCCGATGATACTATTAATAAAAGAATGTATCAATAAGTTAGTTAAAATTCAAACATTAATAATTCAACATTAATAATTTGAATCAAAGTACCTTGGTCGCTTTTTTGCCTTCGTCTGTTGCTGTTGCTTTGCATCCGGTGGTTTAAGAAGCTCAAAACTACATAAAAGTTCCTCATTTACGCTCATAACAGCCCCGTAATTATCAAATTCACCGCAATAATTGGGAGCAGAAAATACGGTTACTAGTGTCCTATCATTGAAAAATTCGTAACCGTCCTCTACTACCATATGAGCACGGCATATGAGATCGAAGTCGTAACGTTCCAGAAATTCTTTAATAATAGATTTCCCAAAACAATAACTAACGCCCCTTTCGTTATCCTCCCATTCAGCAACATTTTCTGATGGATCAGACCATAAAAGATCATTAAGAAGACCATTGTCTGGCACATCAGTAGGACGTTGGATGCCCCTAATTTCATTCATAGAGTTAAGTGATGGGGATAGTCCGCCATGTACACAAAATATTTTGTTTGCTACAATTGCCGCGATAGGAATGCAATTAAATACATCAACAAAAGTTTTCCATGTTTTGACATTCGACCTGCGTTTACATTCATCGTAGAATCCATAAACTTGTATATAAAATAAATAAATAAATAAAATAAAACATAATTAATTAGTTAATTGATTAATTGATATTCTCTAAATTAATTCTATTCAAACTAATGTATACCTGTTACCCAAAATAAAAAAATTTCGGACAGCAGGTATTAACATAAATTTATGCAATAATGTCACATAACAGATAAGTGACAATCAATGTTGAAATTGAAAACATAAATTTATGCAAAAAATGTCACATAATTGACATCTGAAGACAAAAAATAAATGAATTTACCTCTTGTTACATTTGCGCATTCATGATTCCCTCGTAACAAAAAAAAATTTTCAGGAAATTTAATTTTGTAGCAAAGTAATAAAAGAATAGTTTCTAAACTTTGTTTTCCACGATCCACATAATCACCCAAAAATAAATAATTTGCCGTAGGAGGATAACCGCACATCTCAAATAAACGTAAAAGATCGGTATATTGCCCATGAACATCCCCTACAATTTTAACAGGAGGTGAAAGCTCAATAAGGGTTGGTTGTGATAAAAATATTTCTCGAGCAGAATGACAGATAGCGTTTATTTCATTATTTTTGAGACATATTGATTTAGGAACTTTATTAGTAGAACCAGCGTTGATTAGACGTCGTATCACATCATCAATATCGAAGGATTTCGGACGATCCTTGGTATAAGAACTTGGAGTGTTATTCGCACTACTTGGAGTGAAAGACATATTATGACCGTTTAAGGGACTTTCATTATCATCAAGTGATCGCACGAGAATCCTTTCCATTGGTGTTGAAGGTGAAGATGGCGAGATCGGAGAATTTTCTTCTGATGACATAATACTTTGAGAGTTATTTTTATAAGTATCAACAGCTAAAGGACTCCCTAGTGGTGAATTCAGCGGGCCAGAGTTGTGGGAATGCCCATTCTCTTTCCTGTCTTTCGTATTTTCGTTGTCATTTATAGTACCCTCAATGACTTTAGATTCTTTCGCTATGTTTAGGCCCGAGAAGCGTTTCTTACCGGTAGAAGCATTGTTGCCCATTATTCTTTCGTATTTTTAAGAATAAAAGATTTTTAGTAATATATAATAAATATATATATATATATTTCTTTTTTTTTTAATATTATTTTCAATGTCCGTTACTTTAATTTCTTTTCAACTTGAATATAAAAACATAATAAATCAATGTTAAGAAGCTGTATAATAATTTGTGCTTCGACCATATTAGATTGATACAAGCATTCGAGATACTTACTTTCGGTTTAAATAATTTACCAAATGTAAATTACGTCAGCGTTATAAAAAATTATAATACAAAGAAATATACTCGAAGAAATAAATCTTTATAAAATAAAAAAAAAAGTACTAGTGTTTTTTTTTTTTTTTTCACGAATGAAGTTCTTTAAGAGGTAATGAGGTAAAACTGACTAAACAGCTATAGTTAAATAGTTACAACAAATGAAACAAATGAGCTCTCTATATGCTCAAAGTTCATAGATTCTAACAATACTTTTAGCCTTACGAAGGACCTTTAGCTTGTTAGTGAAGATTATGTGCGGAAAACTTATCAAAAGAGAAAAAGTACAAAAGAGTACAAAAGTAGTATACTCGAGCTTTATGGTTTATTATTGTAATTATAAATACAGGGTACAGTGTAACAACGAAATAACTTCAACAGTTCTTTTAAGAACTATATTGAAGGTCAAGGTAAATAAATGCCAAAACAAGAAAAGATATTGTACTAAGAAACATCATGTCTTTTTCCGTATATATCAAATATATATATATACTTGTAATGATGACCAAAAAGTAACGAATGATTTATCATAAATGGTTTGAATTGAGAATATACATGTAATTTTTGGTAACTCGCATACAGTGAAAATGCTATATATAAATAAATGGTTAGAATGCCTAATCAATTTTTCTTTGAGGGTAAATAACTAACCATTAAAATGATTTAACGGCGCGGAAGTCTAGGCCTTAGATCCAAAGGCTCAGTTTCGCAGATCTTTAGATCTTAAATATGTTAAGATTAAAATTTTTAGAACAGAACCTATATATATATATATATTTATATATATGTATATATACAGTATATATATATATATATATATATATATATAGTAAACATATTAAAGTTTGTTTATATCGTTACACTAATCTTTTACAATAACGTTAGGATTCTTGATTAATTTTTACCTAAATTGTTTGAGATCACTTAGCATAGATCAGACGATAGAGATCAACTTTTATTAGAAGTAAACTAGAATTATTAAATTAAATCATTTACATTAAACAATTATTAACAATTATTAAACACTATGTATACATTTTCTTTCAAACTTAAATGTGCAGTTATACAATGCTACAAAATGACGAGATATTTTTAACGTTTAAATTTTTAGCCAATAAGGATTATATTAATGACGTACCTCCTCATTTGACATTAGCGTACGCAGCGTATTACCCCCAGACACAGTGCTGTGCTGTATATAGGCGACAATTAGAAACATGTGAATTCACATGCTATATATCATAATGCGTAACGAACCTCAGGAGAATACATTCTCAGTCACTACAAATTATCACATATCAATATGCATTTGAATAATGGTATATAATTTTAATAATTTTGTTATAGCAATTTTGTTATGTCAATTTTTGTTATAGTAACATTGTTATAGCAATTTTATTATGTCAATTTTGTTATAACAATTTTGTTATGTCAATTTTGTTATAGCAATTTCATTCATTCATTCATTTTCAACTGATATATGGAAATGATGAAATTGCAGGGTATTCGTATTTTTCCCACTTCATGTACTCTTCAAACTTCACATAAAGTTCTTTAATGATTGTAATAATATATTGATCTAACCAATCTTGTAAATGTAAAATTTCTTCAACAATTTCATGTCGGTAAATATATGTGAATTTTATAAAGAAAATAAAAATCGAAAGATATATCATTATACGATGTCCTTGATGAATCAAATTTAAATATTCGTAATTGAATTCCTCACTATAATCTTCATTGAATGTTTTTTCGATCTCATCTGAAAACCAAGGTGCTGGTCGATAATTTAAATGGAGAATTGCTATAGGCTCATTTTTAAACTTTTCACAATTTAATGGTGGTAATAATTTTTCTTCTGATTTATCAAAAGATGTTGGTATCTTTGTATTTAACTTCTTGGAATCAATAGTATCATCTTGTGACCTTAACAAGAAATCAGGAACCGTTGGCATATCATTATCCACAAATCTGGCAAGATAAAATATCGCTGACACCGCTCCAGGATAACCTAACCCTCTAGATTCTTGTCTTTCCAATTGATCAAATTCTGATAATGTGAAATTCCTAAATTTGAAATAATATTTCGTGTCACCCGTCGCATTACTAAAAGTATTCTGCGTTTTAGATTCACTGGATAACATAATGTGTTGTGAATTATCCATGTATCCATCGATATATATTTGCGCAATGATGGGATTCCACGAATTTGCTGCATTTGTCTTAATTTTCACTTCGTATACGTCTCCGGGCTTTTGGACTTTTGCATACACATGACTATCACTGAATTAAAAAAAAATTATATTTATAATATTTAGATATATATAAATATAAATATAAATATATATATAAATATATATATATATAAGATTATGTATATACTTTGTTATTTTAGCACCTGTTTCATCAGTGAAGTAAGACAATGATCTGTTTTTACCCTAATAAGAAATTTAACAGGTTATACGTTTCCTCTCAACAATGCACCTAATTTTTTAAATACTAACTTTTGTTTCTTTCGTATATTCTTTCAACGGTTTCCCACCTACCAATATTTCAAGATGATATTTGTTATAAATCATTCTACTATATTTATGAATTAAATAAGTAGAAAAGAAGAAAGTTGTTAGGACTGTGAAATCATGTGTATTTATTATCTGTCTTAAATATTACTGATATTTTTCCGCGTGACGTCATTCAACTTTTATCTAAGTTAAATCTTGTTATATTCAGGTTTTTTATTCCCAGATTAAGTTGATGAACTAACCCTGTTATTAGTCAACAGAAATGTAGGTATTGTATATTGTATATTCTTTCTTATATCGATAAAAATAGCAATTCTCATACATATTATAATCTTCTATTCAAAAGACGCCAGTCTATTCAGTCAATTCTCCTCTATCTCTTGGCAAATTGGCGGAATTGATCCTTTATTTAAAATCCCTAAATTCCGTTGATTTAAAGTATTTAAAAGTTTTGTCGATCATTCGGTACCTGCCGATCGTTCGGTATCGGTACATACCGTAACGTTCTACGTCTTCAAAGCAAGGCAAATTCGTGATAAATATGTAAAAAAGGCTGCTCAAGAAAATTTTTGTAAACATTTAAATATATTTTTTTTTTCTTAATTCTTGTAATTAATACAGTATAAATAAGATATTTATCTATATTGGGTGCTCGTAGTGCATATAAATTACAAGAATTATAATTTCATTATACCTAATTCTGTAATTATTGATTGTGGTGCTTCACCTGGAAGTTGGTGTCAATATATTTCTCG